TAATAAATAAATAATTTTCATTGATTTTAATTACACACATATATATATACTATATATATATATATATAGTAGTTTAATTCAATGATTATTTTGTTTTTTAAAAATTTATATTTTTATTTATTAAAGTCAATTAGCGTATATGTAGTAAATTCAAATTAATTAGCTTATTAAATGTAAGCTTTTATACAATATATATATATAGTATGATTATTATATTGTAGTATTACGTAATACATAGTACTATCAATAGATATTTATATAGTAGACGTATATAATTATTTAAAAATGTTTTATAAATATATTTTAAACATTTGTATAAATATATTTTAAACATTTGTATAAATATTCACTAATGTATATGTAATTTATTTCTTTATCTTAGCTAATAATAATAATAATAATAATAATAATACAGAGAATGAATTGCAAAATTATTTGATATTATATATGTTTTGTTTCAATTTTAGCATTTGTACGATATATTATATAATATTATTTATTATACTGTATATACTATTTGACTACAAATAATAATAATATTATTATTGTGCGAGTGCTAAAATTATATATGTCTGTAATATAAGGTATATAAAAAATATAGTAAAAGACAAAATTATTATTTTGGGATTTAAAAAAAATCATTTTATATTATGTTCAGTGTATACATATTTTTACTGTAATTTTTATTTTAAAAGTGAGTAACAAGAAAATACAACATTGATAGTAAATGAACTGCAAAAATGGTTAAAAATGGCAGAAAATTGCATATAATATGTAGAGTTGAGAAGGAAAGGGAGGACAGGCAGAGGGGAAACGTGTAATTATTAGCCTAAGCACTACTACCTGTTAATAAACGTATATTTTTATAGTTAATATCAGTGTCGTAATTATTAATTCAAGGCTAGAAATGCATTAAAATATATTTATTTGAATGTAAATGTTATTTTTATTTTTTTAATTTAATTTACATTTAATATTTTTGAAATATTATTTTCAAATATTAGCTATTTTTTGTCAAAACTAATTTTAAAATCAAAATTATTTAAATTAAATTTATTTTAATTCAAAATAATAGACAAAATAAAATATAATAAATTGTAAACCAATACTACTGTATTAATTTATTTTTATAGTATTATTCATATAAATTTGTTATTGAATTGAAATAAATGTAAATAAATTTTATTATAATTTCAATAAAAATATTACTTTATTTTTAAAATTAGATTTAGTTAGAAATATAAAAATTTATATTATCATATACTTAACAAGCATTTAAATTTATCATATTTAAATATAAAATGCATTTAGTAAATTACTTCATATTTTATTATTATTAAATACAAAAAAAAACATTTTCAGCTACTATAAAACAAATATTTTCTAATATATTATTTTATTATAGTATTTTGACATGACATATAGTATTTAATGATAATAAAAATAATTTAATTTTAACAATTTTTAAAAGTTAATGTTTTAAAAAGGATATATTTATTTAAAATAGTTTTTAATTAAATAATTAAATTATTATTTTTATGTCTTTTATAGTTTATATTTAATTATAGATAAAATTAGAAATTTTATTATACATATGTAAGTGAAATAATATAAAAGATTATTATTATATCTAATTTTTCTATATAATATAAAATATGATAAATAATAAATTTAAAAATTATTGAAATATCATATGAGTAAAAAAGTATTGTATTGAATTATAATCATATTTAAAATTTAATTAATTTTAAGTAATTAATAGTTATAAATAAACTTTTTATTTAATTACACAGTTTACATGTCTAATACTCAAAAATATTAAAGTTATGCAAATAGTTATATTAATTTAAATTTTAAAATCATATTTTATATGTCAAATTTTAAAAACGGCATTTTATTATTGTGAAGTGCAGTGATATTTTAAGTTGAATTTTTCACAATAGTATTAATAATAAAACTATTTTGCATTGAATTTTATTTATTGACAAAATCTTATTTATTTTATATTGAAAACGATATATTACTTTAGTTTGTATGACTTGACATACAACAGGATGTGATTATTTTAGAAATTAAATTGAAAATATAGTAATATTATATTTTTATTATATTATTTAATATGATAACAAAAAAAACTTTTTAAGTTTATTGAACTGACTTTAGTTTTTGGTATAACTAAATTTTCTATACTTTTTAAAAAAAATAATTTATACTTTATAATATAATACTGTTATATAAAATTATATAAAAGATATAAAATTAACAATAGATAGATGATAGAGATTAATAATTAGCAAATATTTGTATTGATGAATATATGCTTAACTAATATATATGTCGATCATATATAACCACCCCTTACTAACAATCCCACAGTTGTATTCAATTTAGTGACTCGTGTGTCACTAATAAAAACAGTATTTGTATGGATATGATGAGCACCAGTGCCTGTAATAAGCGCACTGTCAGTCAGTCAGTCCCCCACATCAGTAGTGGTAGTCATTGGCCGACCGATGCATTCAATAACTAATTCATTTGGTCTCTCTCTCTCTCTCTCTCTCTCTCTCTCTCTCTCTCTCTCTCTCTCTCTCTCTCTCTCTTTGTGATCCAATATTCACATAAGTAGTGCTTATATTATTAGTTTTAACACATAAACTGAAGGCCTAAATACCAGATGCCTTACAGTCTCCCCACTGCAGCCATCACTGAAAAATACATAACATTTGACATATAATTCATTGCCTCAACCAAAAAGGTCTGCCGTTTTTATGAACCATTGGTGACGTTCAGACCCTATTTCAATAGTATCATTGGTACTCAACATTAGACTATACTGTATGGCTGTTATTATGAACCAAATATTCAATTTTAAACAATCATATCTTTCACTAAAATATAAACTCCACCCAAATTATAGCATCTTTTTTATCTTATATTTAAAAAAATATTACTACTAACATATTAAACAAATTTATAGCTTAAAGTATTAATATTAAATGTTTATTACATATTTTATTTTAATATTAATAAGAAAATTATTTAAATTTTTGGTCTTAACTAATATGTTATATAATCAGTAACTTCATATAATAGGAAAATTTTGTTTTCTATTATTATTATTATTATAGATAAATAATTTAAATAATATTAATGTTTTAGTAACAGTATATTTGGTAGTTTTAGCATACAAACTATCTAATATTTGCATTAAATTGTACATTCACTATAAACAGTATAAATACAGTAAAATATACTGTACTGTACAAACTATATAATATAATATAATTGTATACTGCAATTAATATAATAATACAGTATTTTTTCCTTAAAAAATAAAAATTAAAAAATTATAATTAATATAAAATTATAATTACAAAAACAATTTATTTAGCATGAATTTCTTTTGGAATGTTTTACAACTTTTCATTTTTATTACTATTTTATTACTGATAAATGTGTAATATTAAGCATATATTTTTATTGAGTCACTAGTTATAATCATAATATAAAGGTTTGATTATTATATAATATAAGCATAAAGAGAGAGAGGGCTTATCATTAGATATTTTTTGTTATAAGCATTTAGCTATCAATAAATCTTAGGCTTATGTCTGCAAATAATTTTATTGTTATAATATAAGGTTTTTTGAGTCATACAAACACAGCACCGGGTTATAAGTGCCACCAAATTATTGTCTAATATTTCTTTTCTATTATATTTTAATGCTGTGTTGATGTTATTGTTGTTATTATTGTTGGTTATGTTAGATCTGCAGGAATCAGATCATAGGAAACAATAATTTTATCCTTAAATATAATATATATTTGTCTTTTAGTTTTGTCTTATATTCCTTGTAATAATTTTGTGTTTATTATTATTATTTTACTTTTTGTTGTTGTTTATGTTTTCATAATAATAATTATTTTTATTTTTATTACATAATTTATTATATTTTTAATAATTTGATTAATTATTTTTATTATTTCTAAATATAATAATAATATTAGAAATTAAAATTTAAACAATTATGTTGCTATTATTATCCATAAAACATAAATATCAATTATATTATATCAGTAGAAATTTTGTTTTTATCAAAATTTTTAATTATTAATTATCGTTGTGCAAATTTTTATAAACTCTATTATTATGTTTAATTTATTTAGTAAGATTATGTTTTTGTTTTTATTAATATTTATTTATTTTAAAATAATATATTAAACAAAATAATAACAATAATGAGAACATTTTTTTAATATAAAATTTTTGTTGTTTAATATATATATATATATAATTTATAACAGAAATGTATTAAAAGTTTTTTCAAAAGAATTTTTTATTCAATTAATTATTTTTTTAATGACAATGCATAAGGAAAACCTCAAAACCAGTTATTATGAAATTTAACACTTAGGGGGAGGACTTACTTATGTGAAAGAGAGAGAGAGAGAGAAAAAAAATGAAGTTTTATTTAAAAAATTTATGTAATTAATGTTATAAATAGAGTTATTTATCATATTTAATAAAAATTAAATTTTAGTTTTAAATGTTATTTTTTTAATAGAAATTTTATAATTTAGTTTATTTATTTTTTTGTATTTATTCTATATTGTATATATTGTATGTTATTATTTATGATAACAAAAAAATAAAACTAGATATAATCAGATTATACTGTACAGTACATCGACGACTAATTAGAAAATTAAATAATTTGCATGAAATTAATTAATTTGCATTAATTTATATTTATTGAATATACAATAATTAAAAATATTATGTTAAAAACTGTATATATAATTATTTTATTACATGATTATTTGATATATATATTAATAATTTAAATATAGAGCCATTTAAAAATACTGTATCTAATTATCAATAATATTTCATTAATATTATTATTATAAAAACTATGCTTTAATTTAGATATTATTATTTAAAATAACATATTTTCTAAATGATATTAATGTTGATATATTTATTATATAATTAATAGCACGAAGTATTGGCCGCATCAGAGAAGGTGATCCTTAGATTAAATGATTTGGTTTCGTGGATCACAGATCAGGTCGATTGGATGACTGGCCTCAAGACATACAGTTCATACAATAATAAAAGATCGGGTAAGACATCATTTTTTATTCATTTATTCATTTATTTACTATATTTTTAAATTTAACATTTTAACTAATATTATCAATTTTTATAATATATAAAATATAATGTATTTTTGAATAATTTATTTGAAATGTTATTTTATTTTATTTATCTGCAAATGTAATATTAATAATAATATACGCGTAATACTAAATTGAATTATCAGGAAAGTGATTTATCATAAACTTATTTATTGTATATTAATAATATTGTTTAAATAATAAAAGGAGTTATTATAAGAAAGCATACTATATTTACAAAATATAGATTTAATACAATATATTTTTATCTAAAAAATATTTTTTTAAATATATAAATAATTGGCAATACAGTATATACTGTATTAATATATATATATATATATATATATAATAGTAATACTTATATATGGTATTTTATTATTATATATTTAAATATTTTATGATGTATTTACTATAAGTTAGTGTAATAGAGAGAGAAATACATAAAAACATGATTTAATATATTAATAACCCACTGACCTATATAGTGATCTTATATAACAATATTGCATTAGTTCTAATACTTTATTTATATTGTAATAAGTAATAAAAATAAATTATAATGCATTAGGTATTTGTAACATAACAAGGATTTTTTTAAATTTTATTTTTAACATAAAATTTTATATTAAATTACATCTTTTTAAAACTAAGCTTTATTATATTTCTAATTATATATTAATAGTTAAACGTTGTGTTTAAAAATGTTATTATATTTTATTTTTACGTGAATGAGTGCTCTAAAAAATACAGTATTTGCATATATATATGATATATTCAAAATACATATTAATTATTTAATATTATTATTTAAGTATTAGACTAAGTACTTTATTATAACTATAATACAATAATAATAAAATGCTAATATTTATATATTTATATATTTATATGGTTATAATTTACTCTATATTATCTTTTTGCTTATATTTATAGAAATATTAAAAGCTATCATTATTTTATTGAAAGACATTGTTTTTTTTTATTATTATTGTTTTATTATTCATTTAAATAGTGTTGCAAACATAATTATATTTTTATTAACAGGTTATATAATATTGTATATATTTATTTGCAAATGTTTAACAAAATATCTATACAATTCTATATAATTATAAATCTATTCATTATATTTATAGTTTATTGTTGTAATTTTAAAAAATATAATTTGATTTATATTTGACACTTTAAATTTTCAGTATTGATATAAATAAAATCATTAATGTATTTTATTATTATTTATGATTACAACTATCTCTATAATTATATCTTATAAAATTTTGATATAATTAATATTGTAATAACGTATTAAACATGATATAAATTAAGTTAATAAATATACTTTCATTAACTATCATTACTACTAATATTTATTAATTTAAAAACAATATTTTATCTAATATTTTATTTTATTTTTTTTGATTTGGGGTTAATCAGTGATTACATTTTAAAAACCATATGTTAGGCTATATTATGAATCAATATAAGGTATTTTATACTAAATAAATATACATTATTTCTAATATATTTGTTATGTCTATTAATTTTTATGAAATGAGTACGTGTTATATAAGTGTGTGTGTATTGCCATTAATAATAGTAATAATAGTAATAAATAACAAGTTATGGATAAATGGCAGTTGTGTTGTTAGTATAGTATTTATATATTTTGTAGTTATTTTTTAAAAAACAGCTTTAATAATAAAGTGGTGTCAATTCACTTACATTTATTTAATTTATTTTTTTTGCTTTCGTTAGCAAATATATAATATATATATATTATATTTAAAATATTAGAAAAATATATATTTCATTTATGACTAGTGATAAATTTTTATACTAAATAATAAATGCATATTTATTAAGAAATCATTTTAATGTTTTTTATTTATAATTTTATAGCAATTTTATTTTGTAAATATATAATTTTTTATATAATATTGATATTGTACTGTATAGCAGTTATATACTTTTTATAAGAAATTATATATCTTTATTTTAAAATATTATTTTATATTATTTTTTACTTTATGGCAATTTATTTGTATTTTTTAAAAAATAAAAATTATTTATGAAAATGGAGTAAATTTATGTAAAATAATATTTATGATAAACTTTCACGAATGCCATAATACTGTTTTTGAATAATATTATGTGTATTTTATAATTTGATAATTTTAATTTAAAATGTTTTTAAATTTTTACAAAACTACTACTACTACTACTACATGGAAAAAAGTAATAAAATAAATATATATATATTATATTAAAGATAATAAACTATTACTACTGTATGTTACACATGTTTAACGGAATTTTTAATGACTTGCAGTTTTGAATAACTTTTTTAAAATGTTATTATTGTTAGTGATTTTTTTATATTAATTACATTTAATTTAATTACATTTAATTTTGAGAAAGTATTAGTCTGTTTAACTGAACAATAAACTATCATTTTTTAATAATATAAAAAATAGTTTTTTTAAAAAAAATAAATATAGTTTTTTAAAAGGCATTCAACATTTTATTTGGGACACTTCAACATTTAATTTAATTGTTTTGACATTTGTTATTTCAAGATTATTATTGAATATATATATATATATATGATAAACACATTATAAAATTGACTTTATAATACCTAAACCTTTTATATAATAGATTTCAATAAATATAAAATGATAAATTGTTAATAAATTAAAAAGTTGTTAACTTATTTGAATATAAATAATATAGCTTTAAGGTATATTTATATATTTTTTTTAATTAATGCGTCAAAAAAATAAATAAAAATAAATAAATTTAAAATGAAATAATTTTTATTATATATATAAAAAAATATAATTTGCGTTTGAATGCTTTTAGAAAAAAACAAAACTATCTAAACTTATATACATTATTATTTATGCCACATTGTGTATAAAACTATATTTTTATTATTATTATTAGTTTTTATATAAATATTTTTCTTTTTTGTTATTTTCTCAACTTTTATTTGTATACCAAAAACATATAAATAAATATACATTTAGTATATATATATATATATATACAATACTGTACTATACGTATACAAACATATAATAAATAAATATAGTACAGCTGTCACAATATCTAACTTTAGCTATAAAACAATGACTGAAAAAATTATGTATATATGTTGTGTACAATTTTTAATACAAATTTAAATTTGTTCTATTTTTTATAGATTAGTTTTAAATATTAATTTAAAAGATTAATTTTGTATAAAAATATAATTTTTTAAAAGTAAATATTGATAACATAATATGTAATGTTAATATTGATATTTGATTTTAGTTATAAAATGGCATATTTTATAAAAATAATATATATATTATAATAATAATTTTAAATAACATTTAATATTAAAAAATAATGACAAGTTTACGATTTTTATAATTTATAAATTGGGTGTTTATCTACAAAATAGTGTACTATATAATTGTTTTATTTTTTATATTATTTTTTAACTTAAAATAAATCTTGTATATAGTAGTAGTATTATGTTGTTTATTATAATAAAAAGGTCACAAAAAAAGTTTATTAATTTTTAATATTATTATTCATGCAAAATCATAAATTTAATTGTAAATAAATTTTAAATAATAATTGAAAAATGTGCTTTATAATATTATAATAGATATATAAACTAACTTATTATTAAATAGGTTTATTGAATGCACTGATAATAATTTTAATACAGTATTAAATAAAACAAATCATTAAAGCATATAAAGTGATGTGTCATTGAAATGCATTTCAAGTGGTGTTTGCATTTGAAATTTTGTTTGATTAACTTATTTTTATTTTATTTATTGTTGCATTCAATCACATAAACAATTTCAATATAACTGATTAGACAATTAATGAGTAATAAAAACAGTGATCGGAATAGCAATGAATATTATTTAGGGTTTGACTCGTGAAATGTCATCCGACTTAATGAATGGTCTCTCTCTCTCTCTCTCTCTCTCTCTCGTCTATTCACTCACTCACTCACTCACTCTCTATGTCTTTTATGTTTTATTTTTGTTTGTTTCTCATCCACTCATTAAATATCATTGCAAACATAGTAAACCATTAGCAGCACAACTATTACCCGAAAACTACTGATGCTCTCAGTGTTTGTGTTTTATGTTGTAATTCAGTCAACAAATTTTTTTACTTATATATTGCTATAGTCTTAATCCATTTATTTCTTTTATATACATGTATATACAGTATATATACAATATAAAATTGATTGACCATTGAATTTAAAATGATATAATATTAAGTGATATTAAGTAAACAATTAATTGGAAAAAATAACATTTGTTTAACAAGTGGTGTCTATAATATAGTATTGCATATTTAATATTTGATATTTAATATATAATACTATCATTGTGTGTACAGAATGTTTTATTTTTTTTATTGAAAACACATTTATTATTATTACTATTAGCAGTAATAATAAATAAGGGTCTATGACCTATTAGTTTTAATATGAGAGCAATTTTTTTTATATTATACATTACATTCAACAATAAAAAAAACTATGAATAGAAATTAAATTATATGAATATAGCCTTTAGTTATGTATATTAAATATATATATTATTTATGGGATTATAATTTTCTTAATATTTTATTTATTTAAATGTTTTTTTTCATATAATTATAGTACTGTACAATAAATACAAATATATCGCACATTTTGTTTTTTTCCACAGTCTAATAATAGTAGATTTTTTAGCCATCTTTTGAAATTATAAAATATTAAATTATAATAACAACAATCAATAAAATTAATTTATATACTGTACTATATATGTATTATTTTATTATATTATGTTTTCTTATAATAACATAATTTTTAGTTTTAAGAGTAAAATAAAAACAGTTTACTTGTTTTATTATCTAATCTGAAACCTTCAAAATAT